AAATTATCTTTAAAATCTCGATATTGATGAAAACGTGCTGGATAACATTCAGATTGCTTATTCATCCTGGTAACTACTTTTTCCTTTTTGTTTATCCATTTCACTTAATGATTTTCTGTGTATTGTTACAGACATCTCAACAGTGAGCATGCGCTGGATGATAGAAGTACAGCCCAATGTAGAGTACAAATGCAGGTTGTACAGCAGTTAGAGCTACAGGTAAAAATAAAATTTATTTTAATATTACCTCAGTATTAATCAAATCCAATTCTCGACAGCAATAAAAAATGAGTTCTGCTTTTCCCCCTGTGATTGAAAACCAGCTTTCAAAACCTTCTTGTAGTAGTTTTAAAAACCATCAAAAGAAACTGCAGCTTCATTTCCTCTTTCCTAAACCGTAACTTGCAAAGAAATAGGAAACGTACCCAGGCTGACTGATTGGAAAGCCATCAGTTTGTATCTAATGCTTTTATACCCACTGGGGGGCTGGAGGGGGGCGAGGGGAATGTGGTCCCCTTCATTTGGAGTTGTTGCTACACAGGGGAAATGGTTGATGTTTATTTCCAAACGCTGCATGACCTGGCTTGTTTGGTGGTCTTTCCTGTACTAATACTCTCCATGTTGTTCTATTATTATTATTACTATTAATATTATTATTATTGCTATTTTTTTGCCGTTTGTAGCAAATAATTTTTTTGTAAACTGACAAAAAGGGGTAAACTGGAATATATTGATTGTGATGCAAAGATATGAGCTGTTTGTGTAATTGCCTTTCCAAATGCTTCTTGAGTCCTTTCTGTCTCCCTGCACCTTGCTGCTCAGGCTGGGTGGCTGTGACAGTGTGTCTGTGTGTAGCCAAGAGGTTAGCAAAGAAGGGGAAATTAAAACAATGTTGTACATTATATAGTTACCAGCTATTGAAAAACCTATTTTGTATGCAAGACAGCAGTGTAGAGATATATGGAAAGCCTTGGGCTAAGTACAGAAGATAATTACATTTGGAATTTTACTGAGTTAAGTCATTTATAGCTTCAAATAGTTGGAGAGAAAAATCAGCAAAACCACACTTAAACTTCTTGTTGTTACTTTTCAAGATAAGCATTTTTTAAAAAATGCTCTTTATCTTCTTATCTTACAAATTACCCTTTTTCTTTCATAGATACTTCCTAAATTTTACTTTCAGGAACACGCTGGTCATGACACTTTCACTATTAGCTGAAGCAATATAAACTATTTTAATACAAGTTTTATAAAAATCAAACTACCAGTCATAAAATATCAGAGTCATGCAGAAAATGTTATGAGAAATGGTCTGTTATTTTAACAAGTTTCTTGGGAATTAGGAAAAGAAAAATAAAAATCTACAGTCTTCCTGGTAAACTGAGATATGAGATAATCTTTCACCAAGGTGCAGTAATATTGAGGCTGAAGGTAAATCTAGATTCTTCAGTTACAGTCAGCTTGGAAAGCATTAATCCTTCTCTCCCACAGTCCCTGGGAATGGCTGTGCATGGAAATACAGGAGGATGCCCTGTGTTAGGCAGGGACAGGACAGAGATTCCCACCTCTCCCTAAGCCCATGCCAATATTTTTGAAAGGTTTATCAGCATGCATTCTACTAATTGCTCTAAATGACTTACAGCTACAGCTTCACACCCATTTAGTGCTGGCAATGCTCAGAGTCATTGCAAGGGAAGGCAGCAAAAGGTCCACAAGACAAGACCATAATTTCAAAGTGGTGTGAGGGCCAGAAAGTTCTGGATTTAACAACCATATGAGCAGGGTAGGTAGGTTGAACTGGAGGCCTAATTTAGGCAGGAATGTTGATAACAGTGAGGCCACCTCTGCACTGGCCAGCAAGGACAGCTGGAGGAGGAGGAGAGTGGTCCAGCTTCTGAAATTTACCTGTAGCTTCCCTGTTCTCCTTCTCCTTTCATATTATATCAGTCCTTTGATAGTTCAAAAAAGCCCCTAATTATGTAGAAGGATTTTCCCTCCAGTCCCTAGTTTGTCTGGCTGTGGCCTGTTTTTGCACAGAACCATAATAAAGCAGAAGTGTGGTGCCCAGCAGTGGGGTGTTCAGTGGTGTGGTTTGATCCTCAGGCCATGGAGCAGTTACCAGCAGAGTGGTGACAGGCTCTCTGGAGACTGAGTTTTGTGAGTTAGGTAGAGCAGGGACCCGCAGCCTTTACCCCTGATCTGCAGCACTGGTGAGCAGCTTTGCCTTACAGTGCAGCTGGGAATTTCCAGCTTCAGGGTCCAGCACCAGGGCAAGATCTACATTCCCCACCATTTAATGCATGTACAGCCCCATCAAAACAAATTCATTTCACCTGAGGGATATACTTCAGGTTTTGAGTGTGATGGACCCAAGTGCTATCCTTTTGTTGTTGTTGATTGTGCTGTTATTTATTTTACTCATGATAGTTTTATCAGTGTTAGAGATAAGTGTAATATCTTCTCAAGTAATTTTTAATTTAAATTTTGGAAAGAAACAGGTCAGATCTGTTTTGTGTTTGATTGCAGATGCCCCTTAGCAGAAATCTCAATGTTCGGTCCTAGCATTTCCATCACAAACATACTTCAAAAATTACAGGCAAGGTAGAAATCTTCTCACATTTCACTTTGTTTAAATCATCTTGACATGATCATTTGTTCATTATAAATAGTGAAAATTGTGCTGCTCAGTAAAACACACAGGAACATATCCCTGTCCTTAGCTAGTTGTTAGCTGGAATAGGACATCCATTTTGCAGCACTACCTTTGAGTGGGAAAACATCAGGATAGCAACAGGGCTATGATGAGTCTAGAGAAGTGTCTCCTAATGGGAGAAAACAAAGGCAGCAGGCCATTTTCAGTGCAGTGAAAATACTGCTTGTATCTGTTTTCCTGCACCATCCATTGACACTAGTGGATTCTAAATCTTCCTATTGCACAGTCTAACCAGGCACAGAATGGGAGGGCAATATTTTGGCTGCCTCTTGCCTTGCCTGTGATTGACTTCCTTTTCCTTTGTCCTTGGTCTGTCTAAAATCCTGCTGCTAAAGTGCTCTCCCATTCTGCCCTCACTGGATTTTCATTTTCCCATTCCTGATTCTTGCATTTATTTTCTGTCTGGTTTTCCTCCTGTACAATTTCTCCATCATCTCTGTTTCTAATGCCTTTCCTCTTGCTCCTTGGTCACTGCCTTGTCTGGAGCCCCTCCTGGCCTGTGCTTTTTGTGCTTCCTTCTCTTGCCTTTCCCACTGGTATAGTTCTAGGATTTAACCTCTCCAGGGCAAGTTGTGTGTCTCGGTGTCCACACTTGCAAGGCTTGTACCTTGCTCTGGATGTATTTTCAGTTGAACCACAGTTAGGCACTCACATTGTACATCCAGAGGTGAAGGAAGTCTCACCTGAAAATCAGGCTTATCATGGAGAATTGGATGGCTGTCTGAAAATTCCCACCATGCAGAGATTTCCAAATGGGTATAGGAAGAAAGAAGGAAGCTTCAGATGGGACTGTGTTGTGTTCCTCAGGCCCCATATACAGAGCAGATTCTCACCTCCATGTCAGAACTGTTCTTGCCCAACAACATTATCAGTAGATCAAGAGCATTTTCCTGCCTGTTGACTATTAATTCCCATTTCTGGACCATCTACACTCCAGTGATAATTTGCTCCCACCAGTGGCTGAGCAATCCCCCATTGCTTCTTTTGTTTGACCCCACTGACCAGAGGGGCTACTAGTGACACTCTAGTTTTATATCACTACTGCTTCCTGACCTAAGGGAAAAACAGTTTAAAGAAATTCTTCAGATTTTTTTACTTCTCTTCAATGCTTTGAAACCGAGAGACCTCTATTTTTCATAATTTAAACTCCTGCCTAACTGGGTGAGTGTTTGAATTCCTAGACTATGACAAAATGCTAGCGTGTGTCTGCCTGAAATGTCGAGAGGATCTTTAATAACCTCCATCCACCAGATTCGGCGTTAAAAGCATTGCTGAGACGATGAGTGGAAGCACTACAAACAAGGACCCCGGTGGTGGGAGAGAGGTGCCCCTCTCCCCTCTCCCTCGCTGCAGGGGCTGGGGAAACATGGGCAGGGTGTGCCCTGTGCTGCCCTGGTGCCATCCCCTCCTGCCGCCGTGCTGGGGCTGGCAGGAAGCTCTCAGGTGCCTGCCTTTTATTTATTTTGGCTACGAGATGTTGTTCTTCTGCAGTAGCCTGCAGACCGAAATTTAATGTACAGATGACCCCGCCAAGCAGCCCGTGTGCCCAGAGACTGCTCGGAATGAGGGATTGCACAACAGAGCTGCGTGGAGAGCACAGCTATTTCTTGGCTTAATTTGTTTTGTATGAAGCACAGCAGCTGAGGGTGAGCCCTCTCCTTTCTCTGGAGAGGTTCTCAGAGGACTCTCAGAGGGAGAAGTTTCTGCTGCAGTGCTGTGATAAGAGCCTGTCGCTGCCCTCAGCTCTCCTGTGAAGTGTCCCGCTCAGATCAGGATGAGATTGCAGATCTACCATAGGTGTCTGGTTTTTTCTCTTGCCATTGAGGTTCTTGACCAAAAGAAGAGGAGCCATTTGAAAAGTACAGTGACACCATTTTCTTCCTTTATTTAATTCCTGTCTTGGAAACTCCAGTGCCAAGTTTTATCCCATCATGGCACAATCTCAAGCCGCTCATCTTGCAAAGAGCAGGACAACCTTGGCCATAAGGTTATGAGTGGAGATTTATGATGAAGTCTCCTTTTATATACACTTAGCCCCACTTTACTGCTACAAACAGATGACTGTGATATGGTGGTGGGCAGGTTGTTTTAAGTTTAGCTGGAATGTGAGCACAGTTCTCCTCTTGGCACCAGGAATCTGGCTTGTCTAAAGCAGAAACTCAGCTCTGCAAAAACTGGCATTTGTAAGAACCTGATTCAGGCCCTCTTGCAAGCATCAACCTTTATGTTCAGCATGCAAATTAATAACACCCCTTTTTCATTAGTATTCTTAGTATCTTTCCACTGTATTTTTTGTTTCGAAGAGCAGCTGGAAAAAAGTCCCATTCACACATTTAAAAAAATGCCTTGTTTCCAAAAACAATGGAATTCAGTATCTCCTTGCAATGCTATGGATGCATACCAGTGATCTCAAGACTCAGCTGTGTGGATCTCAACCATAAAATACAAGAGACACTGAGAGCAGGGGCTTCACCTCAACTCTTGGGCCTGAAGTGGCTGATGAGAAAGGATGACAACATCAGTCCTGTGGCATTGGATGCCCAGGGATAAGTGTTTTGGGGTGATGAATGGTGCTTTCAGCCTGTCCCACCCTGCTGCCCTCAGGCTTATGCCAGAGGGATGCTGGCAGCTCCCACAGCAGGTCCTGCCCCATGCTCAGGGTGCCCAGCCTGACTTCCTAGCATGACCCACTAAAGGCTCTGCCACCTTCTCAAGTCAAATCAAGGTGCTCTTGGACCCAAGGCTGCCTGCAGAGCCCTGTGGAGGTGCCTCATGTGGTTTAACCACCCTTGGCTGTGCTCATTGCATGTGCCACAATGCCTGTGGTTGACATAAAGCCACAGCCCATCCGTGTCACTTGTTCTGTGCTCTGAGAAAAGGAAAACGCATCCTAGAGCCACTGCCTTGCTTTCCTTCTGCTGCGCCTCCCGAGCTGGAGTGGGGCTGGTTAATAAACATGATTCACTGTTGTCTTTTAGCTGTCAAGGCTGGAGTGAAGCTCTTGGTGCCAGCAGGTCTAGCTCTTCTCACTCAAGGGCTAATGCATTTTGCTTTGGGAAATGGTGACACCCAGCACCACGCGTTCGCTTTACCTCACGAATAGCCCATATACAATTTCCAAACTACTCAGCAATAAAACTCTTCTGTCTCATGCCTTGGTGCCAGCTGTTTAATTAGGAATAAGCAGAGGCTGGGTTTTATTTGTACGACTAACAGAGGATATTTTTTTTTTCTCTCCCGTTCCAGCTTGCAAAAGATAAAGAGCGCCTGCAAGCCATGATGACACACCTGCATGTGAAGTCAACTGAACCAAAAGCCACCCCTCAGCCCGTAAGTACTGAACTGTGCTGAAAGCAAAATCCAAACCTCACAACAAAACTCTCTTTTTCTGTTCCCCACTGGAGCCCACGCTGTGGAGCCTGGCCCATTTCAGAGCCGGGTGTGGGGAGGAGATGGGAAGCGCAGCCGGGTTTTGTCATCCCCCTCTCTTCAGGGAGTTTCAAAGTCAAGTTTGGTTCCAAAGCTGATGCTCTGGGCATTTTTCTGGCCTCATGTAAGTCACTTTGCATCAGTCTGACTTGGATGAAATCTTAGGAAGTGTTAGGAAGGAGTTGTAATTAAATTATATTTAGTATATTTATTTTGGTTTCTCTCTGTCTGACAGACATTTACTGTAGAAGTGACTCTAACTGCACATTTTGATGATAATCACGGTTACCCGGTATCAGGTTTTATACTGTTGAAACTGAGAAGGCAAACCTCCTCCACCCCAGATTGCTCTTTGGAGAAGGGAGTAGGGGAAGCAAGTGGCTTTGCAGCCCAAGAAAACTCCTGGTTACCCCAAACCCAGGAAAATCCCCCATCTCCTTCCCTGACTGAAATGACTCTTCTTCAGCTGTTGTTTTCCCTCTGCCTCTTAATGCTGAAAATGTTCCTCGGAGCTTCCAATGATTATTCAAAATGGAGAGAGTGCTTTGCTTCTTGATTTTAAGATTTGTAAGATTTAAAGGTACACTGGCTTTATTTGATTTTGCTTTGAGTCATTGTGTGAAAATTAATTGAGCGTTGACAATCTATAGTTAGTACCAGCAATTTTAATCAATATGCAATGATGCAGCATAATGACAAAGTATTGGTTTATCTGTTTTGACTGATTTTTTTTCTATAAATAAAGCAAACACACACCCATATATGTGTGATTTATGGTGATAGAAATAAAAAGGAGTCAGACTATTAACCCAGCAAATATGGTAGCCTGCCAAGATGCAGTTGGTAGACAAAATTAATGTCTGAAACAGAACACATTACAGAGATAGAGAACATAAAATCATTAAACACTTCGCGCACACATTTTTACTAGAAAAGGATTTCTCAGTTTCCGTGTAGTTGGAAATAAATGGCTGCAGAAGTGCATAGGGAGGCTACTAGATAGAAAATTGCAGGCTATTCAGTAACACTGGAGCAGATGTCAAAGTCAATGAGAAATTTCCTTGTCTTTTTGGAGAGAGTTGAGTGGTAGGTACAAACCCTTCCATTTAAGCTGTTGAGATGCCCGAAATTGCTTGGTCTGGTGGACAGCAACCATCTAGAGTAGAAACTACTCTCAGTGTCTATAAAAATAGCATTCTTCTAGTTCCTCATGTCCATCCCAGCCCAAAGGCAAATGCTTCAGCGCATTGTTGGTAAAGCGTGTAGACCCAACAGAACAAGGAGGAGGTTTGGTTTCTATAGCTCTTACTGGATTAAAAATTAAAACAGCGGAATAATCTGGGACTCTCAAAGCACTCTGCCTTGAGGCCTTTCATAACAGCAGTGCCCCTCAGGAGGAAGGATTACAAACTGGAGGGAGGAAATCATGAGAGGGCGAGCGGTGTTTGGCAGGGCAGCTCGTGATCGATGCCGGGCCGCCCAGGGCAGGGAGCTCCGGCGGCTCTCGGAGGCTACGGAGATGCCAGGCGGTGTCGCCATGAAGATTAGTGTTAACAGCTAATAAACAGGGCAAAGCAGAGGGGGGGGGGAAAAAAAAAAAAACGTGAACGCAGGGGGAAAAGGGCTGTCTTGATTAGTATTAAAAATGTTTTACATTCTGGAAAATTATAGCTTTGTTGGGGACCTCCTACTAAATTTATTTTTAACTGCTCTATTGAAAATTCTGTACCACTAGTCAACATTATCTCTCAGTTGCTCAGCACAGTGTTTCTTTATTAAAAGAAATAGGCATGAATATTTTTGACTGAAAAATTAATAGCTTTTGAATTCATACACAGCAGGTTTTCTTTTGCAAAGAAGTCCAATATCGCTGCACAGCACTTCTATAACCATTTATTTAGAGTCCAAGTCAAACCTTTGACAGCTAGAGCAGTGTTACAAGCCAACATAAAGAACTCCAAGATGTAAACCAACAATAGGCAGTCTGTGTGAGGTTTGCCATTGTCAAATACATAGATTGTTTGGATTAGTTTATGTAAATGTACTGTTGTATTACCCTTTGGAAAAAAAAAGATCACATTTGTGTATGAAAAGTGGTTTCGTTCACAGGCAGCATTATAAATTCCTTATCCTTTAACTTACATGTTAGAAGTAAAAATTGGTGCCTGACAGGCCTATATTGTGTGGCACTCTGTTGTTGGATTGAAACTGCCTTCTTTTCATTTATTGAAATATAGAAAAATTTATTATAGATACCATCTGATAAATCAGAAATTATTAAAATATGTATAGGTGAAGCATTTGAAAATTAATTATAAAATGTAGAAGTATAGTGTTTTGCATAAATTGTGCTTTCCTAGTGAAAAAAATACACAGGCATTGCACAGACTCTGCTAGACCCTCGTCCTTTTAACTCAGTGGGATAGGACTTTGGTAAAAAGATCTGATGACCATTATTGCACTGCAAAGTAGTCTTTACATTCAGTAATTAATTTTTTTTCTGCCAACATAACTAATGCAAGGTGTGTGTTAGAACTAATATATTACGATACTTCGGTGATTTTAAAGGAAAAAGCAGCTGCGAATCCAAACATAGCAGTGAGCTGGGATTTAAAATTAACAGCCTTTTCATGACTGAGGAAATGTTTTTATTCTGCTTAAAGGATCTTAATGCTTGTTTTAAACTATTTTGTTACTGGCAGGTAATAGGGTGTATGAGAATCTGTGTTAAGCACGTGCCATGTGTAATCCACACTGACCACTTGTGCCATCTTTGCCTTCTGGGCTTCAGACGGTTGGACCACAGCCAAGTTCTTGATGGTTTTATATCAATTCAAAAGTCATCCTGCTCTGGGGAAGGGTTGCTTGTCTGATTTAGCCATATCCGTCCATTCCATCCCCACCTTTGGGTGTCTTTAGCTCTTTGCAGTAATTTTGAGTTTGGAATGGTGGTGGGGTGGCCCCTGCATTTCAGCCCACCAAGACATCTGCTCAGTAAAGCTCTCTAGTCCTACTAAAGTCGATGAGATTTAAGCACATTCCTGTGTGGCATAGTAGTGATGGCCCAGATCGTTGGCAGACTGCATGGGCAGGGAGGTGCTGTCGGTGTCTGGTGCTGCTCCCCAGGGAATGCTGGGCAGGCTGGAGGGGGTCTGGGGTGTGGGGGAGCATCCCAGGAGCTGGGGCAGTGCTCAGGATCACTTTTAAAAGCACACAGCTTTCTAATGAAAATGCTCCACAGCAGCAGTTTAAAAGAAAAGTGAGCTATCTCAGAGCTCAGCACTCGGGGCAGGCAGCACTGTTCCCATTCGTGCTGCACATGTTGTTTTGGTGGGGCTGAGGGGCCTGAGGAAAGTGAGAACAAAGCCATGAGACAGAATAAGCTGTGACGTGTTTTGGAAAGGTGAACTTTTTTTCAAGGTGAAAAAAACAAAACCACAACACAAAAGCCGGAACAGCGATTTCTCAAGAACTGTCATCCTGGTTTTGCTATTAGGGTACCCCCCCGACTTGCTGTTCTCATCGGTGTTAGCCATCAGCATAATAGGTTCAAATGGAAATGTGCTTTCTTCTGGGAGGATTAACTTGTGTCGAAGTTCATAGGAAGGGAAGGAGAAGGAAAAAGCATCAACCAACAAGTAATTCTTCATACTAGGTGCTATAACCATCTTTTATAAATAGACAGAAAACTTTTAAAGGCCCTTCTGGCACTTTAAATAAGATGCACTGTTAGATATCCGTTCTTTAATGTATTTTTTTTACCATAACCATAGCAGTTATGATTGTTTTGAAATACTGTTTTTAGCAACTGTAATAACAAAGCATTAAAAAAAAAAAGTCTTTTAACTGTTGAGGTAATGACTGAGCATTTTAGCTGCTGTAGCCATACTTTATAGTTTGAAAAAATAACGATATGCAGCAATAAAGAGAGATTCTCAAGCACAACAAAAGCTGTTTTTATATACTGGTTTTCATTAAGTCTCACTCCTCAGCTTCAGTTTCCTTAGTATTCCTGCCAATAACAACACCTGCTAAGTGATTGCTGCCTGCCAGGCTCTGCATCCAATACACTGATGTGTCCAGGCTGAAACAGGGAGAGGAAGACATGGCACAAAGTTTTAGGCCCAGTATTCACTTTTCTCTCTCTCACCCTTAATGTCAAGAAAAGGAGTTTCTTCTCCAAAGTATTTCAGTCCCAGGAACTCAGTGCAGATAAGTCCTGAGCCCCAGTTGGGCCCAGAGCAGCAGCACCCATTGCAGGGGAGTCACTGGGTATGGCCTCACTGTGACCCTTAGAAACATTTCTTTTTTTTTCCTTTTTTGAAAGAGTTTCAGTGCTGTTTTATGTGCAGCTGCTATTGTCATGTAAAATATTTACACAAAAAGAAATCAGACTTAGTCGTAGTGGGAGAGCCACTAACTGGAAATCTATTTTTTTTTAACTGGGTAATAGCGTGGGTTACCTCTGCCTTGTTTATATCTAAAGAAAAAAAGCAAGTGACTCAGTTTTCAGTTTAAATAGGGAGACATGACTATTTCTTGAAAGGGAAGGTTAATAATAAAGTCCTAAGCAGGATATTGAACGCTGAGACAATTATGGCAGTTATGAATGACCAAGGCAAAACAGTATGAGGAAATATTCTCAGAAACCAAAACTGAACAAAGCAGTCAGCAAAGTTCAGTGATTGAATTTGCAGAATTTTAGGACTTACAACTGTTGTGGGATTTGGTATGTTTTCTGTTGTTTATTAAATTATTATTATTTTTGGGTTTGGTTGTTTTTTAAAGGCTGGAGGAAATCCTCCCTCCCCCCATTCCCAGGACAAATATTACGAAAACATTTTAACTCCTTGGTGCAGGGGTGTGCTCTGTGATTGCCCACATTGTGCATTGCTGCAGTGCAAGAGTTCTGGCTTGTTGAAGTGCTCACTCTGTGGCTTGGGCTCCCTCCCCTCTGCCAACAGTGATACTCATCCAAAAATTACGGTATGTGGGAAACAGCCTGTGTACAAAATACCAATGCGAACAACTTTTCTAATCATAGTAACTTGTTTTTAAATAGCAAATGCAAACAGGGAGAAGCCATGTAGAGTTTCCATCAGGAAAAGAAACCCTCCCAGCCCAGTCCCTCCCTGATCTTTGCCCTGCACAATCATCCACGGCCGCTTCCACGTTTCTAATTGACGCCAATATTAAGATTTAATAGTTTACCATTCAGATTAATAATTCAAGATGGCAACAAAACCAACACCATTCATAATTTGTTATTCTGCTCTAATTCACAACCGATTTTTCAGCCTTGGCACTACCGATGCAACAAAGGAAGCGGCAGCAAAAGGCTGCGGAGGGAGCACAGCCCTCTCCTCCCTCACCCTGGCTCGGGTTTGGGGAACCCAGCTGGAAGAGGAGAGTGTCATCAAATAAAACACGGAAAACGGAAAAACTTCGCTAGCGATGGACAAGGTCGTGTTTCATTAACTTGTTGGTTCAGGCTCACAAATGGTCGTCGGAGGTGAAACGCGGCAGACTCGCTGCGTTCCAGCTTTTTGTTCTCTCTTTCCTCACAGACTGCAGTCATGTTTAATTTGGAAACTGGGCTCCTTTGGCAAATTAGCAATTAGAACAATTTTGTGGGAATATGTATATGTGTCATTAGGTTTCCTGCAAATTAATAGCGAGAGCAGAGGTCAGGCAGAAATTTTCCACTTGACTGCAGCTCCTCTGTTGAGATTTGGCACTTTGTTTTGGAACGGCCACAGCTGCTCAAAGCCACAGTCTTCCTTTAGGAACTGTCTTTTAATTAGTTTACCTCATAGCCATTATTACAAATATTACTGCCTCCCCTCCTTGAAATAAAATTACTGTTTCTACAAAATATTCCGGTGACATCTTGCACCACTGCACATTGATGGTGGGGTCACTTGGATGCAGCGTTTAATCATTAGATCACCTCCATAAGCATCTCCTAATTAGAGTCCTTACAATACAATTTTATCTGGTAATTAGCTGAGATTGGCTGCTTCCTCTGTAGCTTATTAGTGGCAGCCCAGCAGTGGGTGTGAATCACAGTGTCATTTGTCAAGCCTGTTAAAGCCCCCCCTTTTGCTCGTCCTCTTCTGTGTTTATTCCTCATTGCTACCTATGCTGAAAAGCCTAAAGAAATTTAACTCGATTCAGATTCTTTAAGCGGGGAATGCTGACCTTTGTGGATCCTTTCTCAAGCTTCCCTAGTAGAAACAGATTAAATGTTAAGTTTTTACATGCTGGAAGAAGAAGGGGGCTCTTTTGAAATGGAGTAGTTGGGAGCCGTAATGATGAAGCAGGAGCAGTGATCTTTCCAACGGGAGGGCCCGGCTGCCGAGCCTGCACTGAGAAGGGCACTTAAAATTGATGCAGATTTCCTTGCAGTTATTGGACTGTTAAAATGTCCATTTAGAAACTGAGATAAAATACAGTAGATTTAATTTCATGGTGAGACCTGTCAGTTGCACTGTTATTATCATCACTGGTCCTTTTATCATATGTAATAGATGGATAGATGGATAACGGGGAGACATTACTATATATATATATGTCCCTAATCAGTGTCCTTAAATCAGGCCAGTCAGCGAGCAGACTGGGTGGCACATGGTGGCACTGCATGGCACCAGGAGGGTTTAACCTCCAGGCTGCAGGTAGTGGTTCATGCTGGAGCAGGGATCAATACCTGCATTTCACCACCTTCACCGTCTCTCTCTGGGTTCACACTCCCTGGCTTTGCCACTAAGTGTTAAATATTTCCCACTGGAAGGCAAGGAGTCCTTTGTAAGCACCTGCAGGGAAAGGTGGGTGTTTGCACGTCTGCTGCTCACCACCTCCTTCCCTTGGAGCAGCATCTGGGCTGTGCCTGGAGTTTGTGGCTGGGGCTTCCCTCAGCTCCTTCTCACTGTCAGGAAGGACAAGCAATCACAATTTATCTTCCCTCAGCTGAGCCCTTTCTGTAGGCAATGAGCTTTTTGTGTTGATATCCACTCTGTAATACTACAGCTCTTTATTTTCCACTACCTTTGTTTGGGATAAATCCTATTATTTTTAAAAAGAAACATTATTTGTGGCTATTAACTCATATGAGGGATGCTAATAGGAGTTTTCTTATCTGGCTACTTTCATACAAGGAAAATTAATACAGTGCCTTATGGATAAACATGAGATTTTGGGGGCATAGCTGCGTCGTGTGCCTTGCCTTCATCTCAGAAGGTTTAATGTCTGGCAAAAAAAGAATTTTAATCACGAGCAAAAGTTGTAAAATTCTGGCCCTGTTAAATTCAGTAGGAATTTTGCTACCGACTTCAGTGGGGTCAGGATTTCACCAATATTGTTCGTGGAACTGCCTAAGGGAAAGAAATGTGGAAGTAGCCAAAGAGCCCTTCTCTCAGTCGTCTTCTGTGATGTTGTAGTTAAGGGGTAAGGATTGTTTGTTTAAAATACTTCAGCAGCAGTGACCTATTGGGATGGAGCGTCATCCTTCAAAGGACATTGTAGGGCAGAAAGAAAGGGCTGGGGAGGAATGTGGATGCTGGTTATATAAATAGGGTTGTGTATTGAAAACAGTCAGGTTGGAGCTGGGTTTGATACCCAATCCTGGAGGCAGGTGTGTTTTACAGCCTGCTGTGGCACGCTGCCACACCAGTGGGGCCGGGCTTTGTGCAGGTAACACCAATGCCTTCCGTCCTAGGAGGGAAAAACAGAGTGGTGCCACTTGTGCTGGGCTGAATGCTCACAGTATTTCATGCACTGTGATTAATTAAATTATTCCAGTGTTAACCTACTCTGGGCTTTGCTTTTAAAATGGATGAACAGAGAGGAAAAAAAAAAGAAAAGCCCAAATGCTGAAGAGAGAGATTGCGTTTCTCCCTAGCATGTCCCTAGGAAAGTCTTGCCTTTTATTTTAAGCCTGATGCCTTCAATGAAATATCCGGGAAGACTGATTAGAAGCCATGCATAATGATAGCATGGAAATCAGAGAGGTGTGGGGTTTAGACTGTGAAACAATGAAACTAGAAGTAAAATATTAAAATGATTATGTGCTGTGCAAGATCTTCTTCTGTGGTTTAGATTAAAATTTATTATTTGTTCTTTAGGCAGCAGGCTACGTTGTTCTGTTTTTTAAACCTGTTTGGAAATGTGTACATGCAATTATTATATTTATTTCCCTTTGCTGTCTCTTAACGGAGAGCAGCACTTTGTGCTGAAGCTGCAGTGTCTGCTCGGAACGGAGGGTTTCCTGTGCAGCCCTTAACCCTGCAGACAGGCTGTTGGTAACGAGCCCCCCGTCCTTCCCTCCGCAGCTGAATCTGGTATCGAGCGTCACGCTTTCCAAGACCGCGTCCGAGGCGTCTCCGCAGAGTTTACCTCATACTCCCACCACCCCGACTGCGCCCATCACTCCCGTCACGCAGGGACCGTCGGTCATCACTACCACGAGCATGCACAACGTCGGACCCATCCGGAGGCGGTACTCGGACAAATACAACGTCCCCATCTCTTCAGGTAAAGGGGTTCTGCTGCCACAGCCCCCCCCCTCCCCCTGTTTGCTCAGCAGCATCAGGCTGTGATGATAACAGAACAACTGTTCTTATTTAGCAGATATTGCCCAGAACCAAGAATTTTATAAGAACGCAGAAGTTAGACCACCATTCACGTATGCATCTTTAATTAGACAGGTAAGCCGAGCCAAGCACACGCGTCTGGATTAGGGAAAAAATGTATCTCCCTATATGTGCTGGATTAAATAGATTTTCAAACCTTTGGTATGTAAGCGTGCTCAAATGCTCAAACCTTTACTATAAGGGTTTTTAGAACTGCAATATATAACATAATTGCTTTTGATTAAGTATTACAATACGATGTGATTATTAGGAAATTCATTTCACACAACAGTGAAAATGAGCCTGTTTAAAGATGGCAAGTCAATTATCACAAGCTACAGTAATCTCTGATCCCTAGAATTAATCTGAGCTCTAAATAATTACTGAGCTTTAATCAGCTAGTGAAATGTTTTGCATTTCTCTTTGATTCTGCTTTATGAATGACTAATAAATTAATATTTCTGTAAGGAAACAGAAATAAAAACTCAAAACAATTAGATAATTCCATTTTGAATTTTGCCATTGAACTGTTAAATACAGCCATTAATCTTAGTTCATATTGTGAAAACCCTCCTTTCGATTTTTTGCTCCAAATCTCTTCTTTTTCATTCTTCCTTTCTTTCCTGTTTCTTTTTTTGTATCTGGCAAAGTAAAAACTGTGAGCGTGTTTTGTACTGGTGTGCTGGTAACTGATCTTGCAATCGCTTTGCTCCACAAGGCCATCCTGGAATCTCCTGAAAAACAGCTAACACTAAACGAAATCTACAACTGGTTCACGCGAATGTTCGCCTACTTCCGACGCAACGCGGCGACGTGGAAGGTAAGGCTGAGCCCACCTCCTTCCTTTGCTCTCTGCCTCGTACAGAACAGACTTTGCTGATGACAGAAATTGTCCCGACGTGGGGACATGAAAAATTTAGATCGGCAGTTGTGACACGCGCCGGGTGCCTTATCTGCAGGAACAATTTGATATTTGGCAGAAAAAATTCCTCTGCCTTTGAAAACCACTAATTGAATCCCCATTATTGGCTTTTATGTTCTGTGATTATGCCATGAGTTCCTCTGTGTGGTTGCTACGAGCAGGGAAACTCAGGCTCTTCAGCCGGAACGTATTAGAAAATTAAAAAAAAAAAAAGGAGGTAAAGTTCTCGTGTCAGTGGAAGATACACTGTTCATCTTTTTAGCTAAGCAGGTTTTAATCACAACAACGATTTTTTTTTTCCTAGGATCTATAGATCAGTGGATTTCTTTCCTCAGTTGATTGACTCTTAACTACATAAACAGCTGTTATAAACTTCCTCTCTTTCTTTAATCACACAGCAGAAGCTTACTGAATTTAATATGCAAGAAGCAAGCTCCTCAATAAGAAATGTCTTTAACAGAAATAAACTTGGGGTTTTGCACTTTAATTTCCTCTGATAACTGATACTGTTAGATAAGAGGTTTGAGGAGTTAATCTGTATTTTGGGGGGCCACTCTTTCATTTCAAATATAGCACTTTAATAATCATATTGACTTGTGAATCCAGTGCAATCACAAATGAATGATGCAAGAAACAGGATATTGTGTTGCTGTAAAAACTGTACCCTGGTGCTTGGAATCTCTCTTAATCTAAACATCTTTGTTGTTCTCAAAAAGCTTCAAATGACCAGGTAGCATGAATAGATCCCATACATGCTGTTCCATCAGCTCTTTCTGTTTTTCCTGCCCCAACCTGCATTTAAGATTAATTCCTTCGGCGGACGGAGCTAAAAATGGTCCTTGGAAGTTAGCTTGGTTTTTAGTGGCATGGTTTTCATTTCATTCAGATCCCAGCACAATTTTGTAAGTTTTCAGCCCTGGTCTAGAAGCTCTTAAGTTCAGGAAAACTTTCTGTGATTGCTGCTTTGATTCTTCCCTGCAGTTGGAAAACATGAGCAGTGTTCAACTTTGCAGCTTCCATACTATCCAGAAAGGAAATTAACTTTCCCTGATTTAAGATCCTTTTAGACCTGCCTGTCTTTTGCTACTGGAGTGGTTCCAGTAGGGCTTTTCAGCAGCTGCAGGTGTGGGTGCTAAAGTAAAAATCCTATTTAGTTCCAGCAGCAAAGGGAAGTGGAGGGAGGAGTGGAAGAAGGCAGCAGGCAGTCCTGGCTGTATCTCCTGTGAGCCTAGTTTTGGGAATTAGCTTTTGGCATCTCAAAAAAATCCAGTCCCAGGAGCCAGTGCACGTACAGAAGAGCAGCAGAGAGGCTGAGCTGCATTCTCAGACTTGTAGAAAGGCACTGTGTGTCCCAGGGAGGCAGGTGCCATTTGGAGACCCCTCCTTGGACACCTTGACCTTCTGCAGGTGTCCAGGTCCTGCTTCATCTAATGGGAAAGAAAATCTTCACCCCTACATCCACCAGCATCAGCAAAGTAGACAACTTGTTGGAGCAGTACAGGTTTTTGTGCTGGAGACTGCTCAGATTTCTGCCAGCCCCCAGGAACAGCAGGGATGAAAATGCAGCTCTGGGATTGGCAGGACGGGAAGCCCACGGGGTGCAGAACGAGCACAAGGGGCTAATTGCAGAATCAGAATAATTTGAATATATATGTACTGATTTGTGCTCACCTTCAGCTAATGCTTAGGGGGCATTTGGATCACTGTTTCCCAAGTTTAGGGTCAGGGTTTGGTGTGGACAAGCTTCCCCGAGCCCTATTTCAAAAACACAGGAAAGTGCAAGAATAAAGACCTTTAAAAAATAAACCTCTTTCCCAAAATGCAGTATGGCAAAGCCTGAGCACTTATTAAAATAACAAACCCTTTCATTTACTACATTCAAGCATGTTCAGGGTAATTTTTCTGTAAAAGTGGCTTGCATACAAATACTTTTAACAAGGTAAATATATAATCTTACAATAATAGCTCCTAATTTTTCTGTTAAGCTGATTGCTGGGGGAGCGCTGTGAACTGGTTCTGACAGGTCAGAGGCAATGTCTGTTTGCTTTTATTTTTTGGAGTAATTTGCTGGCACCGAGTCACAGCCATGAGGCACAGGCTGCAGGTGTGGCTCTGACACGTTGGGGTATTGTTCAAATAAAACTGTTAGATAGCAAGTATCCAGAGGCAGGGGAAACACAACAATTTTTTTCTGGCATGAATTCCTTAAATAAGTGATCACACGGAAAATAGAAAATGCAGCAACACTTCATGGATGTCTTGTAAATATTCAACTTCTCTGTCTCAACATATCCAGCAAGAGCCCTGTCCCACAGCCTTAACCATCAGTTGCAAATGGACTTCAGGAGAACAAGAGCAGTCTGTAAAGTATTTCTCCAACATTAAATTTATTTAAAGCAAAACACAAATATTCCTGCTCAACCCTGTCTTTAGAGACTATTTACAAACTCTGAGGACTCCCTTCGCTGGGCTTTGCCGTGTGCGTTTGATCAACTGCTGTATGAACCACAAGATCAGCTTTCACTGGGGGAAATAGCGTTATTATTCTTACATTTTGCTCCAGACTTGACAGTGTTCCCATTTTCACAGGAAACTGCCTGAGTTACCCAGATGTGGGCCAGCAGCCCTGTGTCGGATTGCACTAGTGCAGCACCCACCAGCAGTTGCTGAGCTGGCTGATTTCAGCTCATAAGGTGTGGGGCGTTTACATGTTTTTCCTCCACCTCAAAATCAGGGGTTCTGCCAAAAATGGCAACAGTACTGAAATCTGGAAGAGGTGGGAAGGGGAAAAAAAAGCCATTAAAAATAAGAGCAGAAAGAAGAAAATAAGGGTAGAAGGAAGCAGGCCTGATGGACAGGTTGACTTTCTGCTAGATTTCTTCCTTGCTGAGAGGAAAAGCATATTTGGGGTTTATTGTTTTACCAGTTCAGAAACAGATTGGTGTGGAAAAGCTGAAGTGCTTGGATCAGGCATCTACAGCCAGAGGAGATGTGTTTGCACTCAAGCATCTGCTGAGCAAAGGAAGTTGAGACCCCAAATCTTCCATTCCTACTGGGGTGGGAAGTGTGGGGACTGCACTAGGCATGGCAGGGAATTGGAGAAGGAGCAGAAGACTCTTTGCCTTCCCCTTCCAGCACACACACCACTGCCTCCTGATTTACATGACAAATGCTCTGTACTGCCCTTTGTTTGAACAGTGATTTAGACATTCAGGACTCAAGCTCCCTTTCACCATCCAGACCCCATGTTCATGGGAAAAAAAAAAAAAAAGAGGATGATGTCGGAAGGAAAAAAAATTGTCATCTCCTGGTTGCCTAGACCCAGGCCATGTGTTTGGCTGGCTTTGTGCCTGCTAACGAGTCAACCAGATTGACTGAATCAATGGTGCCAGTGAGGATGGAGTTTGTTCGCCTGCAGATTTTCAGCAAATGGCTTCTTCTGTTTTTCCTGTTTCCCAAGCCCCTTTCAGCAGTGCTGGGAACAAGCTCCATGTACAAATTCCGATGAATTCTATGAACAATAGCTTTGTAGAATCATAGAGTCTCTTAGGTTGGAAAAAGCCTTTAAGACCATCGGGTCCAAATGTTGTTGCTGGGTACATTCTCAGGAAACTCCTGAAACAGGGATGAAGCATAGCACTCCATTTGAGAAGTAGCAAGGCTCTCGGCACCCTGGAGCAAGGACAGAAAAGCCAAGAGCTTGCCATGCCTCAGTGAGGTGTCTCATTGTGTCCTCAGCATGTTGGAGGGGTTGGCTGTGCTCATCCTTCCCAGCATGGAGCTGCAGGGTGGACATTTGGCCATCGGATGCCATGAGCACGGATCCCTCCGGGTGATGAGCTGTGGGGATATTATCACTTTGTTTCAGAGAGCCCTCCTCATGTTTTCACTTGGCAGAGGCTCAGATCAGTCACTACAGTAGTCTGCCAGAAATAGGAGCCAATTTCCATATAAGAGCAAGCCGTGGAGGCAGGAGTTGGTGCCGGCTGGCCAGTGGGGTGCTGCTGAGCCCCCAGCCCATGCTGTGGGTGTGGAGGGAGGTCCAGCACCTGAATCACATTAGCCCAGCTGTGGGAAACCACAGCAACACCAGCTCCTGTGCCTCGCAACTAAATCCAGTCGACTGTACTTATATAAAATCTTTTCTGTTCTTTCTAACTGCTTTCTTTTCCAGGAGGGGAGAAATTTCTCTTTGCAGGGCGTATATATTTGTTTTGAAAAAGTCTAAGCAATGTTCCTCTTGTGTTCTGTATTAAATGTACTGTATTCTACAACATGCATGCTTAAAATTGTGGCTGTTCTCAGTCACTCTGGGGATAATTGATAAGAATAACGTGAATTTTTAATCTCGGGTTTAAGCTTTCATATTTATTTTGTCTTTGCAAAATAAGATGTAAAGAGCCGGGGAAAGCGAGCGGGTGCGGGGAGGGGAAGGGGCTTAACATTGCAAAATGAGAACTGTCAAGCTGACTGTGCTGCTGCTGTTCTTGGACAATGATGAGCATTTTCTCATAGAAGATTTTTGAATGTTTTCTCTTTTATACTTGCTGCAGAATGCAGTGCGTCATAATCTTAGTCTTCACAAGTGTTTTGTGCGAGTAGAAAACGTTAAAGGGGCAGTATGGACAGTGGATGAACTAGAGTTCCAAAAACGAAGGCCACAAAAGATCAGTGGGTATGTCCACCATGTTTGAACTTCTTAGCCTAGCTTGGATCATGCTTACAGTTTAATGTAGAGGCTTTTGGCTGCTAGCTGGTGTTAGATCAACCACAGGTGGTTTCGCATTGTCTCAGTTAAGGGAAACCAAGACAAACATCTCATCACTACTGTTTGTATGCCCACCAGTACCCTGACCCTGCTTGCTTGGTGTTTGTTGCATCACATGCTAGTAGCTTTTAGGTGGCAATGCATATTAACCCTCACAAACCATTTGCTTATGCTTATTGCATTTTATTTTCTTTTTCCTTTTCCCTGTATTTGATGTCTGTTCTGTCCCCGATCCCGTGTCCCTTTGTTTCCACTTCATCTCCTTTGCTGCTGCTCTTGTCCCAGGGTGCCATTCGCACCAACCTCTCACTGCATAAGTGCTTTATCAGAGTAGAGGATGAGTTTGGGTCCTTTTGGACTGTTGATGATGAAGAGTTTAAACGTGGCCGTCATATTCAACGAGGCCGTCCTCGAAAATACTGCCCTGATGAAAACTTTGGCGAGCTTGTTGCACAGTAAGAGCTTTTACTTGCTTTAATTTTTTTTTTCTGCTGTTGCTTTGCTTTGCATGATTTACCCATCTCATGTAGACTTGCATTTCACAAAATAGTGTCATCACCTTTGCTGCTAAAGAAACTAAATTTTTGGTTGTTATGTGTATTTTGTGTGTCCTACTCTGATAATCCAAATGCCTGTAGTAAAAACTCTACTCTGACATGTTTGTTAAAGCATTTATTTATAGAGCAATGTAGACTAAGATAATTATCCACGCTAGCACGGATATACTGCTGTAGATAGGAAGACAGATGTATGCTAGGAAAGGTTTCAGATAAGTTTTAATTCTGATATTTTCCTTTGCTTTCAATTGTATGCTTTATTTTGCAACTTTTAATCAGAAAAAGTAAGGTACTTACAGGACAGAAATGATGAATTCACTTTAAAGAGTTTGAAAATGCAATGAGACCAGCTGTAAAGATTATCAACAGGCCATCGTGTGCCTACAACAACCATGCACCAATATTCCTGGACTTGCCAAAGGGATTTTCTTAGATGTTTACTCGAAGGCCATCTCTCCTGGACAACTGATCCTTGCTGGTCCCTATGCAAGGAGCTCAGTTAAGACTCTGCTCACTGTAATTTATTCCATGTGAATAAAACTAAAATAAAAACATGCCCAGTGAGTGATAAAACTTTTGGGAGATATTTTGAATGAGCATTTTTTTTTAACCTAGTTTCTATTTCATGACTTTTAATTTTTTCTTTATCTCCTGATAGAACCAGTGATTTTGGGATGCCTCCTAAAGAGAGAGCCAGCCCATGTGGTCCTCATTCCTTTTCCTCAAATCTGACACTTTATGTAAAGCTGACAAAAATAAGGGTCCAAAATAGCACACCAGAGTATTTTTTACTAAAAAATTGCCTTCAGGGCAGTGTGGTGGTTTCTGTGGGCCACCTGCCCTTGAGCCTCCATGCCCACAGGCTGCTTGGGACGATGGTGTGGGCAGCCCCTCACCTGGTCATTGGCATGGCAGGAAATGACATGGATCAAATAAATCCTCTTATCGTGGTGCCCCCCTCCCCTGGGAGAGACTCCCTGCCCTGCCCTGGGAGAGACTCCGCTGGCAGCGACTTGGAGAGTCATTTGGATGAAGCAGAGTTTAAAATGCCCCGTGATGATTTTGATCATTGCCTCCTCACCATGGACCTTCACGTGGTAACGGGCTCCCAGACACGACGAAAATTGGAGAATTTCTCAGCTAAAATGAGCAGAGATGCCAAGATGTGCCACTAACGCAGGGTAGTAGAACACATGGCGAGGTAACGTCAAGAGATAATGATGTTCCTTATTTAGTAAAGGCAAATATGATAACCGTAGCCGAAAACTCAGATATTTTCTTTAAATTAAAAAAAAAAAAAAAAAAGAAAAGAGAGAAACTAAAGAAAACTCGTGTGGAAAATCAGTCTCAGCTCTAGTTTTCTGGTGGGGGAGGAAGCTTTACGTGCTTGAAACGTTCTCACAGAAGTTGGTTGCATTTAACTCTCCTTTTTATGTTTTTCTTATGCAGTAACCCTTCTCTTATTAAAAACATACAGACCAGCCACACCTACTGCACACCTCTCAATGCTGCTTTACAGGTAAGATTAATGACTGTAGCAAATATGCAACAGAGGCGTGTGTCTTCCCCACTCATTTCAAAATATATTAGCCTTGCTCTAATTAGATATTAAATTTTAATTCCGTTAAACTTTTTTCTTAAGTGCATAAAGCATCATAGTCCCTGGAGGCAAACACATATCAGGCTGCTTCAGCATTAGCTAGATGCTTAGCATTTTGAATATTGTGGCAAAAAAATTAAAAGTTCACTTATTAATATTTATCAGCAGTATCATAATTTCCATCCTCTTATTTCAGAATTTCACTTGAGGCAAAAATACCACAAGTGTAATTACTCTAGCACAGCTATTAATGTGCTGAATGATAGGATACTGTGGCACGTGACCTTCTATTGTTCATGGCTTTAAAGAGAAAGCAGATCATTTTTCCCCCTTTTCTTTTAAGGGCTATTTTTGCATATCTTCCTATTGTTGGTAAAAAATAAACGGTGCAATTCCTATAGAAAATAAAAGATCATTTTTATTGGTTTAAACTGTAATCGTAAGACAAAAATTCAGTTTTTTCACAATGCAGATACACACAAAAGTGTGGGTGCAGAATTAATGACTTGCAGCCTGAAAATGTCCCTGTCTCCAGACCTTTTTCCTGTGCCCATTTCCCCTTTCAATAAATTCCTGAGTCCATCTCGAAAACCCCAGATGAAGTCAGCATTTGCTGTGTAAACCAAAGATACAAATGCATTACCATGCCCTGATTTGTAGTGAGGTCAGTATGTTTGTGTGGGGGTTCAAACCTGGTTTGTATGTTATTAATTAATCCAGGAGGCAACATCATGCACGGTTGCACCCCAGGTGGTTCTTGGGGGTCACTTCTCAAGAAGTTCACTGATGGCCATGGGTATTTGCTTGGGCAGTCATGTTTTATGGAAGGTTTAGAGGACTTCTCTTTTCAGAACCAATAAACAAATTATTAGGAGGAAAATGATATTTTGCCTTTCTTCTAATTTTTTGAGTTTATGCAGTAACTCCTGCAAAGCCCAGGAAAGCATGTTTAAATGAAGCAACTGTAAATACCATTCATTAGTAACTTATTTTCCCTTGAGTCTTGTGAAGTGTGATTTTTAAAGACTGCTTTGTCTCCTGAATAGTATAAAGATTACAAGCGCATTTTACATTCATGAGGCTGAAAGGCAAAAATGAAATGATCCTGCATTTCTTCACATTGTTAACTATGTGACTAATTCCAATTAATATGCTTATCATATGGAACTGTTCGTGTTTTATTTCTGAAACACGTGTCGTTGTCGTCATCTCCATCCATTCTTGTCTTCTGTGATAACCTCCAAACTGTTTCCATTCCCCACTTTTCCTGAGAGAGCCACGTCCTCGTGCCCCCCCATGGCTGAGCTGATGGAGAGAGGAGCCTGGGCCAGATGTGTTGCCACTGTGACCCCTCTAAAAATGGGGATCAATAACAACCATTGCACTGAGGCAGATCCTCTTTTAGGGTGAAAATACACCAGCAGGTTCCACACTTCTCTCCCTGCCATTGGATTTTGGAGGCAAAATCCCAGTGGGTTCTCTGGGGCTCTAGAGGGTCTGGGCAAATAATGCAGGTGGCCACTGCTATGTGGGCAGTTCAGACCTCACCTGGGCAGCAAATTCCTCCAGGATGCAAGGCTGCCTTACCTGCCAGGACCTACATTCTGTCTAATTAATAATTGATGAGAGTGTTCCCCCCAGCTTTTGTGGGCTCTGGGAAGGCCTGCCCCTTGCACATCCCCAAGACCACTGTGGGGTCTGCACAGTGGACTGTGTGCTGCTGGCATGGCAGGCTGTGGTTTCTTTTCCTGTGGGGTGGCACAGCCTCCCCTCTCCTTCACCCAGGCCCTGCTGACATCTCCTCTATCTGTTTTCCCTCGTGGCCAGGGAGAAGAAGCAGCTCTCTCCCCCCTCTGTCTGTGGAAGGTATGGGGACTCCAGCTCTCACCAGTTCTCTCTTTTGCCAGTGGGTCAACAGGGGCTCCCAAAACACTCCCTCCCCTATTATTGTCCTCCTAGCAGATACTCCCAGTGTCCCACCTCTCCCCCAGTAAATTGCTTTACTGCAATTACAAGTTATCACTGTGGGTGAAGAACTTGAGTCATTATTTTGCCAAGTGCAGGAAATGTGAACCATTCTTTGCATCCCCTAATCACAATGAGTTTGCCGGTTGTTGAATCAAGAAGATAAAAATAATCCTCCCCGTTAGAATAGCTTTTGTAATCACGTGCGACGCACAGGGCTGCACATGGAGAGGTCAACATAAGGAAGAATGAAAGGGGCTGTGCTCCTGGAGATGCTGCAGTGAGGGCTGGTCCTGCCCTCCCTTCCCATCCCATCTCCCCCACCCTGTCTCTGGCTGTGCTTGCCTGGGAAGAACTGCCAGCTTGGCACCAAGCAAGGAGTTCTGTCCCATGAGTTAGGAGCAGGCGAGAGCATTTGCTGAGGAGTACGTTTGCATGGATTCCCCTCCCATGTGCCAGGTTTGCATCACACAGACCCAGCCCGATGGATTTTTTTTGCTTGGCCCCTGAAGCCAGCTGACCTCTCCCCAGAGCAGGTCAAGTGCTGCACAGCCAGTGTCTGTGGCTGCCCGGTGCTGACATTGCTCAGAGAGCTATGGATGATGTCAGCCAGATCCAGCTGGGATGGGTGAAATGGTGAAATGTCCTTCCAGTCCCTGGGCGCTGCAGTTTCAGAAAGCTGTGCCTCCCATCCCTGTGCCTCCCTCCCATTCCAGTGCCTCCCATCCCCAGCAAACACTGGGCTCCTCCGGGGCTATGGGTTTCTGTGTTCCCACCACTGCTGTGCCGGGCTGGGACTGTGCTGTCAACATGAGCTAATGCTGACACACAGTAAATATTAGCAGGCAGAACGGTGGGAATCAGAAGGAAAATATTTAACAGTTCATTCTCTTCCTACAAAGATTTCCATTTAGAAAGTTAACTCCAGTGTGCCGCTGCATGATGTTTCCTTAGAACAAAGGGGGAAATCAAAATTAAATAGTCAGACCTGTAAAGCTAAGGTAAGAATTGAGTTGCTGAGGTTTAAAAAATTCCACATGGAGTGGTTCAGCTCTCAGGTAGATCGGTGCAGCTGTGATCCAGGTAGCACTGATGGCAGCCTTATACATGTCCCAAGGAAAACCAAACTCAGTGATACTGTACTCCTGCTTGGTGTGCAGCTCACTCCAGTGGGAAGGAGTTACCAGATGAGCCAGTTTCAATTTTTTCCCCATTTCATTAGAAAAAAAGCCCAAACCTAAGCCACAAAGAATACCCCAAAGCCCCAAACATAATTTGATGAAGCGAAAATAGGGAAGGGACATTTTCTTTTTTCTAGGGTGTGTAATTCCAAATAGGGAGTGGAAGTCTCCATCCTCTTATAAGCCAATGCAGCTCTGAATCCTTAAACCTAGATCTAAATGATGTTAAATTTCCCTTGATGGAACCGGAGTAATACCTATGAGAAAGTACAATATTTTAAAGAACCTGTAATTGCAAATAATGTAAATGTGGAGAATGTTTTGGAACGAGTGTGTTGTGCAGTGTATAAAACATTAGTCATGGCTCTTCATGGATTTGTTTGTGTCCTTGGCAGGCTTCAATGGCTGAGAACAGTATACCTCTATACACTACTGCTTCCATGGGAAATCCCACTCTGGGCAATTTAGCCAGTGCGATGAGGGAAGAGCTCAATGGTGCAATGGAGCATACGAACAGTAACGGGAGTGACAGCAGTCCAGGACGTTCCCCTATGCAAGCGATGTAAGTATGGCAAAGGTGCCTGCTGCCTCCAGGTCCTGTCCTAAACTATGTGCTCAAGGGTGACTCTGGAGACTCCTGGCTCCTTCCTGAGCTTCGTGGATGGAGCAGCAAGAGCAGACATCTGTCTCCATCTGGGGACATGTGTAGGGTGGTTGGAACATAAAAAAGTCATTTACCAGTTTCCACATAAAACTGATCAGCTCTATCCAGTCCAAGAAGGACACAGGGCTGTAAAATTGTTCACTTGTTTGCAGTTCTCTTCTTTGAACCTTGAAAAACCTCATAGGTAACTATGTTTCCTGGAGAAAGCCTGTGCTTTCTCTCCCCTTTGGTTTACACGATGAGCACGGCCCGTGGGGCAGAGCTGGGAAATGGGCTTGTTCGGCAGGTCCAAAAAAAAAAAAAACCACTCAACGCAAAACGGTCTGGCTAAGCATTAACGTGAAGGTCTGTGTGATTTATAGATTGCTCTTAAAATATCAAAAGGAGAACTAATAGGGGCATTATGGCAACAGACGGCGGTGTAATGAGCGCGTCTATAACCACATGAAGTGACGGGGGCTCGCCGGCCCCGCTCAACGTGAGCGGCACCCGGGCAGCGGGCGGGCGCAGGAAAGGGTAAGGCAGGAAGGGTGTGATGCCCCGATGGGTGTGTGCGGTATTTATGGGGTGACGGAGTGAGTTTGCAAAGCTGTAAACTCCCCCCTCCCCTCACATCACACGCCGGGTAATTGGCGGCTGGTGAGGAAGCCGGGGTTTACAAGTCCTGTCGTTGCCGAAAGCTCGGCGGAGCAGTTGGGTACCTGTGAGTGACCGTGCTGCCCGTCTTCCCCCTGCTCCTTAAAACAGCCTGTAAAATTACTGGCTGGCTCGCCAGGGCTCACGTTACACATTAAAAAAGAGAACTAATTTGTAGTCTTTTTACTTCAAAGTAATTTGAATAAGGGATTTACAAAAGTAAGTCTAAATCAAAAAGTAGAAAAAACATTAACCTAATACCACGGTAGTAATTAGTTGTGAAACTAATTAGCATTTAATGGCAAAAAAGTTTCCCACCTGCATAATGTGTTGTCAGAGGGGAGGGGGCACGAAGGAATCTGAGGCTCTGGATACTTTGATATCGCAGTGTTTTAAATCAGTGCACAAAGTGCTTTGAAAAAAAATCTTTAAAGATGGCAACATTCATTTTTAATTAATAATTAATTTAAACATTGTCTTTTACCATTTACTTCAAAACATTCAAATAATGTGTTTAGCTTTTCCAGTGATTGTTTGTGCAGTATTAATTATCTCTCCCAAAGTAACGTTGCATGACACACTTTGCGTCTCTCACAGACGGATTCATCTCCAGGCAGTTTTAGTCACAATTTGTTATCCTCTGCCTGTGACCACGCAGGGCTGGCGTGAAGGAGGAGTGGAGGGACATGACTTTTCTCAAGAAACAAGACTTTTCCCAAGGGTTTCTCCTGGCCTAACAGGCAAGGATGAACGTTTATGATGTTGCGTTAATCCGAGTAATTATTTTTTTGCAAGTTCAAGGCTAGTGCAGTTCATGCACTTCTCATTTCACCTAAGGTTTCCTTGTCTTTGAATAGACTGAAAAGAGGGAAAAATAACCAAGTTGAAACAGGCTAGGACATCTTCCAGAACTGTGCATAGCTGTGGCCTTTGTTGCACTTAATAATCATCTCTTGCACATTGATACCAAGGTGAGGGGCACAGAACAAATAGTGGAGAGAGAGGAGGTCGGGGGGAGTGATGCCTCATTTTCATTATTCACCAGAAAATCCAATTTTCTGTTGTAATATGGAAATGATTGTTTCCTGAGTGTTTTCATTTTCTCAGAATTGATAATATATGTGTTCTCTGCTGAACATTTCTTTTTGCTTAAGTAAAATGTGGCTGGGTGATGTTCCAATACCAGCCTCAGAGCTTCCCCATTATGATGGTGTTTCTAAGTAGTTTGAAGGGATCTGAAACCAGAACACAATTCACACGTCATAGGGTTTACCCTGTTTACTAAATAAAATCATGAGTCAACAGCGACTTCACAGACGCTGTGAAACCTTTTTTATTTTCCATGTTCCTGCTTTGTTAACAACATGTTCTTTTTTTTTCTCAGAACAGATTTCCTTGTCACAATGCAAATTATTTTTTAAACCATTTCAGTGTATTAGAAGAAATCAAGTTTTAAACTTTATTGTAAGGTTTAAAGGACCTTGTTAACATGACAGCTAAGAAGTCTAACACTTTAGCTGAAGTCTTATTACTGCTCATTCGTTTCCTTTTTATGACACATTGAACCACAGCTAGGGTGGGTTTTTTTTCCTTCTCTCTCCCTCCTTTTGAAACACTAGAAAGTAGTCGCATAATTACAGCTTGGGGACATAACACTTTCATCCTGATATGCTCCAAAGGTAGCCACAAAGCAAACTACTCCATGCTGTGTGCACCACCAGAACTCAGTGGCTTTAAACAACAGTCAGCTTTATTAAAAACTCCTCTGTTCCCAGAGTGGACAAACAAAAGAATTACTCAGATGTGAAAAGAAGGGGAATCTGTGTTCAGCAAGGTTATTTATTGTTAACCCCTTCTAGAGTCCCAGGCATCTACTTAAAAGGGTGAATTTCTGCTGCTGTAAAAACAGAAATGGGAAACCCTTTCTTTTCTTTGCCTTCTTTCCTCCCCCTTTTCTTTCTCCTGTTGCTGAATCCAGCATTTACCTTTTCTGTAATTCAGCAGACTGAATTCTTCAGTCTCTAAAGGAGGTTTTCCTTCCCCATTTTGAGGATTTGGTAAGATGGTAAAGAGAAATTCAAACTTGACTTGAGAGGATATGAAAAGTCTCCCTTGTCCTTCAAGATTATTTAGGCTTATTTATTTCAGTTGCTCAGAAATGTTTGAGAAAAATCACAGATTCGGGAAGGTTTCTTCCTCACATGCCATTTTGAGGTTACAGCTGACAGAATGCACAAGGAGTTGGAATTTTTTGGCATTGTTTTCCTTGCAGCTCTCTCCCTGGGGCTTGTGTTACCCAGATAACCTCCTAATTTAGGGGATGGAGGTTTTGCTAAGCTCACTGTCTGATGTTTGTGCAACACGTGAGGCACTGGGGGAGGCTGGTGTGACTCTGCTCCCTGTGGCTTTGTGGCCCTCTCTGGCTTTGTCTCACCCAGAGTCGAGCACAGCTTTTCATAACTTCTGTTGCTTCTCACACCTCAGGTTTTGTTTTTGGACCTCTGGGAATCACACCAAACCTCAAAGAGAGCCTCAGTTAAAACCACCTGGTTTCACCTGGTTTCATAACAAAACCAGAAGAGGAGCAGAGTTTGCTTTGGAAAGTTTTGGGGACCTTTGAACGAGCTTTCACAGCACTTTGAATGAGCTTTCACAGCACTTTTGAGTGGTTATGAGCACAGTGAGCACCTGTCTAACCTGCTGGCACCTGAGGTGGTAGGGATGCCTTGGGACACTGGGCAGCCTTTGGAGAAACTCCAGTCCATATACCAGGGCCTCTCCACTGCACGTGACATGTGCTCTCCTCTCCCCTTTGAAAATTTCCCTTCTGTGTTTTCAAAAATAATACTTAAAAAAAAATAAATAAGCCCAGCAGCAGCAGCATCAAAACCAGAAAGCAAAAAAGCAAGACTTTGACATTAAAACAGGAGTAAAAAAGATCACTGCCATAAAGTCCGAGTAGCACAGGCTTTATTGGGCTCTCAGTGCAGCCGCTCTTTCCCCTTTTTTCTTCTGTTTTTCATTTCATGTTTTCTCCCAAGTGAGGGGCCCCACAGCCTATTCATAAAGTAAGTTTTTCTAGTTGCAGGTATTCAGCATAGTTTAATACTCACTGAGGCCATGAGCTGCTGGGACAGGTAACGTGCACACACCTCCAACACAACAATCTGCTTGCAAGACTTTTTATACGTTTATGCCAGTTTTTAACCTCTGATCCTTGAATTGTCTCCTTCTAGTCTTCTTTACCCCTCCTTTTTCTCTAGTTAGGTTAAAGCTGTATGAGCTGTGCTCTCAGTGTGTAATTTTTTCAAAAATTACGTGACGTGCAGAGAAACCTCTGCACTCCCAGAGATGTGTTGATAGGATACCTATTAGTGGATTGGAAGGGAAAAGGTGTGTGTGTACATGTATACTGCATCACTTCTCCCCAGTGTTCCTTTGGATGAGTTGGAAGGTGCAGTTAATACTTAAGTATTGATCCAGCACTTTACAACTCAAAAAGTTGAAACAAGCAGGGACTTGAAAGGCATTCGCAGCTCACATTAGAATTGTCTGTAGTCAGCAGGTTGGATGCTTCCTAAACTGATCCAGGCTCAAGCCTAAATAAAGAAATAGGATACAGGGGTACAACTGGTTCACTTGAAATAGGCGAGGCTGGCTTTGGTCTGTCTTTGGATGCCGAGTACATTTCCCCTTCCCAGTGATTTATCCTTGCTGTCTGTCCATGCAGTGGAGTACAGTGTTGTTGTTCCTATCCACACAAAGCATAAAACACAATTCAGCTACTTGAAATCATTTTAAAGTGAAGCAGTGCAAAGAGAGGAAAAGTTCTTACAGTGGTGTGTGCTTTAGGTTGTGTGTGCATGTTGCATATGTGAAAGGGTTAAATCAGCCTGCACAGAGAAAAAAACTAGTCTTGGAGGTGGATATCAACTCAGTGAGAGACAGAGTGGGACTTGAACTCATTAACACTTTATTTTAAGGGATTGCCTACATCATCAATTATTTAGGAAGCAAACAGGGTCTCCATTGCTGTGTCGCATTATTAATACTTGGTAATGTCAATAAAATCCTACTTTCCTATAAAGTCCCACCAACAAGACACTATTGACTCACATGGCTACTTTACATTTCAAAAGCTGCTGAACAAAAAAAAAAAAAGAGAGGTAAAAAACGGTAATTTGTATTTGTATAGGATTTGTTGTAAATATGATTTACGAACAACATTTTTCAATTGTTATCATACCCGTTTTGAATGACCAAGCCCCGTTCCCTTGTGAGTTATTCATGTGCTTTGCTGTAATGAGAAATTTGGCAGATCTCATCTCTTTAGTACATCCTTGTGCCCACCATGAGCTGGGGATCATGTTCTGCCTTGTTTACAGCTGACAGTGTTATTATTCTCGTTAGGACTGTGCTTTCTTATCATATTGTTGTGTTGAGCGAGCCTTTTCCTCTCTGTTTGTGTTTCCTGGCAGGGCTTTTCTTCCCTTATTGACAGTTTGTAAAAATATGCATTAATTTGGAGTTTAAAGCATGTATCATGGTGTCTCTTTGCTGTGTTTGCTTGAAGTTGATTAATGATAGAACCTCACTTGGGGTCGTCCTCTGGAGAGTTGTCTCACAGGTTCTGCATGTTAACGAGAGACGCTGCACACACAGCGAGGATGATTAGCCCTGCCCACGCCGCGCCGAGCCCTTGGCAGGCCCCTGCCTTCCCCTTCAGAGCCATATTCCACTTATTTATCCAAAGATCACTTTAACTTAATGTGTCAGCTGAGAGCGTTTTCTCTCCATCCCAAGGCAGAAACCCTATCGAGGTGCTCCTCCCAGAGTGTTTTCCCAGGGAAGCTGAGTGCTGCCTGCCCGGCACAGCCTTCATGGGATCTTTAGAATCATTAAGCTTGGAAAAGCCCTTTAGGATCATTGAGTCTGGCCATTAACCCAGCACTGCCAAGCCCACCAGTAAACTATGTTTTAAGTGCAACATCCACATGTTTTCTGAAGGCTTCTGGGTGCAGTGACTGCATCACTCTCCTGGGCAGCCTGTTCCAGTGTTTGATCACTCTTTCAGTGAAGAAATTTTTCTTAATGTACAACCTAAACCTGCTGTGGGGCAACTTGAGGCTGTTTCCTCTTGTTTCTGTTGATTACCTGGGAAATAGTGCTTGGTTTGGCTTCTGTGGCCAGCACAGATATTGAGGGTCTTCTTGGTGACCTGGAGCTCTCAGACCTGGCCCTTCGGGTCTGAATCCCCCAAACCACCTCGCCTTTCTTCCCAAACCACCCACGCTCTCTTTGTTAATTAACAGCTTGCTGACTGTCTGTTGTTTTGTTTTCCCAGGCACCCCGTGCATGTCAAAGAAGAACCATTAGACCCAGATGAAAATGAAGGCCCACTATCCTTAGTGACAACAGCCAACCACAGTCCAGATTTTGATCACGACAGAGATTATGAAGATGAACCTGTAAATGAGGACATAGAATGAGTATGTCTGACATCGTTATCCTGAGAATGAAGATTGGAAGAACACGTCAAACTTAGCTGTGAAATCTCTCCATTATTGTACAGTCTGGAGGATTCTCAGTCCACTTTGACAACTATGAAATATGTTAACTCTTAGTGCCATCAAGTATCCCATTTGGGAGTATTTTTGATTTTTCTACTTTTTGTTGAAAAAAGGAATTTGTACTCTGTGCATTGGATGGACTTGTTTGGTACTTGGGATTTTCCTCTCTTACAGTCAACATCAGTGTTGTAAATTTGCTAAACTGATTCACTTGCATTTAGCAGCCAGCTGTGGACTGCAGGTCCTGCCAATTTTGGACACTTGAGGACATCAAACTGAGCATGTACACCTGAACTGCAGATCAAGTCTTTGCCCAGATTTTAAGGATTCCAATGGACAACATATTTGCACAGTACTGCATGTTGATTATCACTGCCTTTACTCCATTTTTTTTTTTTGTTTCATTGGTTGGGTTTTTTTTTTTTTTTTTTTTTTTTTTTTGCTTCCATTTGGGATGGGGAAGGCCTGTGTGTGCACGTGTGTGGGTATGTGTGTGTGCGTGTGAGTGTGTATATCGGGGAGGGGTTCAAAGAAAAAATTATCCCAAACTTTTTAATGTATTGCTTTTATTCCCCCGCCCCACTTCTCCTCTACCATTTTAAGTTCTGACCTCAGGCCTCATCTGGGCCCAGGGCCTCTCAGAGGCTTCAACGTTTTCTGTACTTTGTGATGAATGTTAATAGGTGTTTTTATTATACGAAGCTGAATGTCATTGAATTGTTTGTAGTTTTTTCTGTCATTCATTCCAGTTTCCTTCAGATGCCACCATGTTTTCTTTAGCTATGGAAAACATTCCATTTCGGTGTCTCCTTTGTTGTTGTTGTTGTTTTTTGAAAAGGTCCCAAATGCTGCACGATACATGTGGAAGGGTTGTCCAACGGAGAGGAACGAAGTACTGCAAGAATGAGAATGAATGACAGATGAACATAGAAACACTGTAGGAAGCAACACAGATTCATTCCACAAAGCAGTATTTTTAATATATTCTTGTTTTGTTTGGGTTTTTCAATTTTTTGATTTTTTTTTTGGTTTTTTGGCAGCAACGGTGAATATTAGCAAATGCCACAAAATTGAACAGCACAAAGAAACATATGCAGCACCAACAGAGTTCACTTTTAGTAGAGAATGAATAGTACAGTGGCAGGTTCTCGGTTGTTTAACATGAGTTCTAATGGGTCAACAAATCTTTCTGGAATATCTAAGATTACCGAGATGGGCACCTAAACATTTATTATTACAACTTTATTTTTTTTTTCTTTCTTTTTTTTTACATTTGCATTTGCAAATAGTGGTTGGAAAGATGACTTCATTAAATTGTTACTGTACGTGGTGATGTTTCACGGTTAAACATCAGTTCAGGATTGCTTGGTGGCGTTAATCTGCTTGAATACAAATTAGATTTCAGATTGAACTTGTTACGGGAGTTAATAAGGACGGGGCCCCACTAATGCTAAAGTGTTAATTTTCAGCTGTGCAAATCCAGTACTGCAGTTAGGATTGTTATGCAATATTACACCAGCCAGTATGGAAACCTCGCCGGAGGAGTCGGGAGAGTTGGGAGAGAATTGGCGCCGGGGCTTGTTAGGCAAAACTGGCAAAGCTCTGCAAAGCAAACACGACATACAAAATCTGTTGCCATAGGTCAGTAAACCTCAGTCACCAAACACCTAAACATTTTCATTCTGCAACCACTTTTCCGTCACTCATTTATTTATGTAGGACTGTAGCTTTTTTTTATTATTTCGAAAAGCCTTTCAGAGCTTAATTTATATTCTTCTTTGTACCTTTTTTTTTCCTAAAATTACCAAAGATATTACACAAAGGTAAATTATGTTCTCTGTTATATGCTTTATCTTATGAAGCCAAATATCCTCTTCTTGTTGATCAAAGGAGGTTGAAGAATTTAGAGGGAAATGACAAGATGTGGGCTATTGCTAACCTGAGAGGGAAACTGCTCCTTTATTCTAGAAAATTTAGAAGGCCAAGTAGATGTCTGAACCAAAGTTGTTACTTTTTATTTGCAATTCTTTACAGTGACCAAAATGAAAGTCTGTAAAGAGGAATCGAGGAGAGCTTTTGAGGTTAAAACTAGGAATCAGTGTTACTGGGGGAGCTATGAGAAGGGAGCTGAAGAAAGCAAAGACACAATTATTTCATGGAAAATTAGAGTATCAGATAAAGGAGACAGTTTAATAAAACACAGAAGAGAACAGAAAAGCTCCCACAATTTAACTGGACGACATAATGGTATTTCTAGAATTAAAAGAAAAAAACATTTTTTTTGGTCTTTGGTTCTACAGATTGTGTGCCACTTCTGTTCCGGGACTGTGCTGGGATGACTGCTTTAATTTGGGTTGATCTTGGCACATTTTACTCAGTTTTGTTTAGTTTTTGGTCAACATTTTTCATAAAAAAATAACACTCCTGTCCACTCATAAGCTTTGGTACAAGAAATTTTATTGGCAGTTACTTTTAGAAAACTCAATTCTGCTTTCTTTTTCAGAAAGACAAGGAAAAAAAAAAGAAAAAAAAAGGGCAGTCTGTGGTCATTTGGAAACATTTTTTTAAATTTTGTTGGGTTGGTTTTTTTGGTTTTTTTTTTTAGTTTTGGTTTAAATTATATCCAGGCAGCTTCGTGACGTGCCGGCGGTAGCCAGACAGGGATCATGAGAATTGAGCTCTGTGCTTCGAAACTGAGTGGTTTGCTGGTTAGTTCGGTATTCAGAAGGGGGATAAAAATCTGGTAGATTAGTTCATTCTCAGCATGTGTAGCTAGACATGAGTAAAGATAACAGCATGAGAAACTGTTAGTACGCATACCTCAGTCCAAACTGTTAGGGAATGAGTAAATAAAAAATACATTTCACTCAGTTGCACTTAGTTGTATGTCTTGCATGCTTAGTCTAAAGACTGTAGCAAAAATAAAAAAAATTAAAAAAAGAGAAAAAGAAACAAAAAATTAGAGTTTAACATATCTGGCAGGTGTTGCAGCCTTGCAGAAGAACCAACTGAAAATCTCAGGCTTTACATCAAGCAAACTTCACTATGATTTTTACAATTCTGATTCTGTATCCCTTTGGATATACAGTTGCTTCTTTAGGGAGGGGTTTATTATGTTGTACATATATATCCCACTGTGTCTGTGTGAGCCTTTGTCTTTTGGGGGGAGGGTGGGGAGGGAGGAAAAGGTGGAAAGGTCCTTTTTTTAGATATCATTCCTCAAAAGGAATAAATGCAGACCTGTTTGTCAAAACACCTTTTGCTTTTTGTGCAACTGCTTTATATTAACTATACTAAAAAATAGCTTTGAAAAAAAAAAACTACTGTATGTAATGGAATTGCAGAATACGCTGCACATGTATTTTATTTAGTTATCCTTGCTTTAAGAATATTGGATGACATTTGCTGACATGTGGGAGAAAATCCCTGACTTTTTTTTTCAGCTTTTAAATTGTAACATAGTTGACAGATTTTTTTTTTCTCCTGTTATCATTGATCGAAGCATTTTTGTACAGTTTTTGTGTTTAAGCTGGTTTTTTTGATACTTTCCCACCCCTTCTGTTATCTTACCACTGCCTTTTCTGGCTGTCTTAAACAAAGTTCATATATTTGAAAGGAAAAAAAAAATCGTTTAAAAAAAAATGTTTTTCTCCTGCTGCAGTAAATATTTTGCATGATGAATTCCAGGGTCACACTTTCAAAGTTTATCAGTGAAGTAGTGATTAATAATGGGGAGTGTCAAACTATTGAACTTTTTGTATAAAAAAACAAAAAAAAAACTTTACAAGGTGCCAAGATGTAAAGACAATTTGTTACATGTTTTTTTTCTCAAAGAAAAGCGTACATTATGAAAGTAGTACCATGTATCAGGTAAATCGCTGTCAGGAATGAGAGTCAAAGCCTTCCTTGTCCACAAAAAAAAAAAAAAGTTTGTAAATGTAAAACCTGTTAGGTTTCTGCATTCAACTAGAAGTGAAATGAAGAAAAAAAAAAAATCAAGGCTTATGTAGAACAAGTGACCACAACAAAATGACCTTTTTTTGATTCTCACTCGCAAGAGTCCCGCTGCAGGTCCTGCACCTCCCCTTTCCTGGAGCTCAGCTTCGGGGAGAGACCAGGGCAGGGATGCTGGTTCTACAAATATTGCAGATCATTAGATATTTTATATATATACATACATAAATATATATATATATAAAGTTTTTTAAAATAATTTTGAACTATTGTAGTTTTCAGATCGACAATAATCTCACGTTCATTATAGCATGGAAAAAAAGAAAACCAAATGTGTTTAAACTCTTTTGAAATCCTTTGGTACCTTTGGTTAATGAACTCAGAGTGATTTTTTAGATGTTTCAGAAGTCATTTAGTATTCTAGTCTTGCGAGGTGAATTTGCAGTTCAGGACTGCATTTTAATGGGCCCAGAACAGGTAACCAAGTATTTTCTACCCATAAGCCTTGATGAAAATGGTACAGTCCAGACTGTTAGCATGGTGCTTCGTGTGTATGTGCTGCCAGTAACAAGATTTTTTTTTTTTTTTTGATAAGGCATAAAAGAAACTCATTCCTTACATCAACTGTAATTCCATCATTCCATGTCTGTTGATACAGACAATAAAAAATGTTGTGTAGTCAGTACTAATTACTGACATTATAGCATTCTCAAATGCAATAAAAATGCTGGTTGTTCACACTGGTAATGCAAGTTGCCATGTCCGAAGTTCTTGTTTTGTTGTTCCCCCCTCACGGTGGCTCTGATGTCACATCCCGTGGTCCCTGATCCGTGGCCACCTCATCCGTGTCCCAGCTCACTCATGGATGGACAAACCTCATCTCTTTCCTTGAGTCTCCCCCAGCCACATCCAAGTACAAAATATTTTAGTGGTGGTTTCGTGGACAGTCTGTACAGGGCAGTTGGGTGAGGCTCGAGCACTGCAAGCAAGGAAGACACTGTCATTCAAGGAATTAGTCCTCCTTTCCAAGGAAGTCCTTCCGTTTTGCCCTTTGGGATTGTTTGCTTCCTCATTGGACTCTGTTTTAAAGCTTGAAGGATGGGTTTGGGGTCTTCATCCTGCAGCTCCTTCCCAGTGCAGTGCCCCGATGGGAATGTGCACTGCACCCCTGCCTAAAGAGGTTTGCAGGATCAACCCCTTGGTTCACAAAACTCTGAGAAGCAAAGTCCCAAGTGGCACTGTCACCTGAGACAAACTGAAGGAAAAACCCACCTTCTTTTTCTTTCAAGTAAGCACACATTTATTTTCCTCATCAAGTTTTGTAAAGAAAAATAAAATGTTTAATAACTAGCATTAGCAGCAAACTGAAATTTCAGAGGAGAGATTTTTCATGAATAATTCATTAAAATTTCACATCTGCAAGATTAGTCATCCAAATAAAATGCTAATGTCAAAAACATGCACCGTCTATAATATTCTCATCAAGAAATCTTTTTGCATATAATGATAAATGCTTAAATTAGTACAAATGATTTTATAAAAATATTCTATCATAAAATTATACTAGATAACTATTTTTTGGGGGAGGGGGAGGGGACTCTTTACACACTCATTATAGTGTGTCTCCAAATGGTATTGACTGGTAAGGTTTTAATAATCAAAATACAGAGAATAAAAATTGGGCCTTGTTTGTGTGGTGCACTTCCACCACTAGTGAGATTTTAGTAAACTGGAGGGGATTTCTGGGATTAAATTTTCCAAAGTCACAGGCAGCAGCTGCTGTTTGGTCAGGGGTGCTCTGCATCTGTAGAATGGGGGGGCCAGCTCCAGGTAGGAAATGTGTCCCTGGGCGAGTCCCAGCCCCTCTCTGGGAGCACAGAGTGTCCCCAGCAGGCAGGTCAGGGGCTACAGAGCCATCACACGTGAATGGGCTGCTCCACCTCCCGGGCCATCTCACCTCAGAAGGAAGATTTGGGGTTCCAAATGTCACGTTTGTCATCTGCTGGCTGCTGGTGTGGCCTCGGGTTTAAGGGGAGCTGCCACATGCAGCCTGTGCTGAGGAGCTGGCACCGAGCTGAGCAGCAGGACCATCATTTCCCCTCCTGTCCCAGTCAGTGCTGCCTGGGAATCTGGCTCTTGGCCACCTTCTGTATCATATTTGTATTATTAATCACATTTCTCCTCCCTGGCTGCTCCACCACGGAACATCACACGATGCCTTCCTACTCCACCAGCAAGAGCCAGCTGGGAAATACCTTTTCCAGGCAGAAACGCTGTTTTCCACCACAGCTGAAAAGCATTTTTATGGGCAGTGGTGAGGCAATGTGTCTCAGAGGAATTTCCAAAGAAAACCGGAGCCTGTGAGTAGTTTTTCTGGGTTTCTCCTGTCCCAGAGGGAAAAGCTCAGGAGCTGGAGGCCCAGGAGGACATGGCAGCTGATGTGCTCCTTGCACACCCACCTGCTCCCTGCAGATGATCCCATTAACTTGGGTCCTGATCACAGAGTCTGAAAAACTTCACATTATTGGACTAATTTAAGGGACTGGCAATTCCTGGTGCCGCTGGCTCGCACGCAGCCACACATACACACACCCTTCCCCACAACAAGGTGTAATTAGCCCTTCTTGACCTATTAATCAGGCTCAGTCTTCAATGATGATGTTAAACATTCGTTTAATGGTGTGTTAATCAGGGCTATCTTTCATCCTCGTCGCAGTGGTGGTTAATTCTGGCACACTGAACACTCTTCCTCCTCTCATAGCCACAAGCCACCATCTCCCCAGCAGTGATGACTGAGGTGGTGGGATGTGACCCTCAGGTGTGTTTGCAGCCTTCATGGGATCCACACCTTTTTTATCCCCAAACCCTGCAGCTAGGGCATGGGAAAGTCTTTCTTTTTGCCCCATTTTATTCCCTTTGTTAGAGATCTTCAAAGCACATAAGCCGGAAATGGCAAACAGCATCACCTTGGGGTATTTACCAATCCCTCTTCCTTCCTTCCACGGGAATTTTCTCTGTCAAAAGGAAAAAAAAAAAACATTTTGTGCCACTCTGTCGGTATTTATTTAGAGGAGCCCAGTGGCCATTTTTATGCCTCTCAGAAGCCTGAAAAACATTTTTTTTCTTCAAGCTATAATGTTAATTTGAAGGTAACCGTCCTTTCAAGGTTTAATTCCAGCCAAAGCAATAACCATTATTTACCAGTGTTTGACATTTTTATCACTCATCATATTAGCAAATTTCCATTGAAAATGCTAAAATGGTTCGTCATAAGGCACATAACTGCTTTGGCTGTAAAAATGACCAACACAAGTGCCTGTACTCAAACATTAAATTATACTGTAATTAATAAAGACAGTTAAACTGTCTACTAGCAACAGCAATTTAGGTAACCACATTTGATCGGCTATAAAT